GAGTGTGCTTCTTGTGGAATGCATGCCTGTGGAGAATGTGGCTAACTTTTGTTTTTGTTATCTACAAAGAATGATGAGAAAAATAATTAATTTTGGTTTATGTTATTTTGAATTATGAACAAAATCATGTATTTAAACATTATATATGTATTATGGAATATTATTTAGTGGGATAATTTTGTTGATGTGTAATTATGAATGAAAGAATATTTTATTATGGAGAAATTGTTATTTTTATACAGAAATTTTTATATTATTATGGAGAAATTTTAATATTTTTAATAATTTTATCGCAGGATGTTTTTTTATTTTTTGTGACGGCATTACACCATCGCAAAAAACAGAAAATTTTAATATTTTTATTAATTTTGTTACAGGTTTTACTTTTTGCGACGACACTAAATTGTCGCAAAAAATAAAAATTTTATTATTTTTTAATACTTTTTGCGACGGCAGTACACCATCGCAAAAAATAGAAATTTTCATATTTTTAATACTTTTCGCGACGGCACCACACCGTGGCAAAAACAATGTTCTTGCCGTTGCAAAAAAAAAAAAGACTATTAGCGACGGTATTTTTTGCAGTCTCAAATAATATTTTTAGCGACGATAAAATAGTGCCGTCGCAAAAAGTCAAGAAATTTCAAACATTATTAGTGACTGCAAAGTGCCGTCACAAAAGGCAAAAATGCTGCCGTCGGAAAAACTTTTTTGCAACGTTCCCAGTTGCGACCCTCTCTTGCCGTTGCAAAAAGTCATTTAGGAGTATTAGCGACGGCATTTTACCGTCGCAAAAAGTTGAAATTTTAGTAGTGTCTCCTAAAGAGAGAGGGCATATTGAGTAAGGACAAAGTAAAATATCATTTTTTTTGAATTAATTACCTAAAAGTCTTATCTACATATTTGGTGGTAGCTTAGGTCCTATCAAAAATTTTTTGAACTAATAAATCCCATTTAGAGGTAAAAATACGTTTTTCCCTTTAATCCCCAAACTGAGAATGTTCTCAATTTCAAAACTGAGAATGTTTTCAATTTATAATTATCAAAACTAAGAAATTTTTCAAATTTTTTCAAGTATGAACTAAGAATATTATCAAAACTAAGAAATTTATAATTATCAATTTTGAGAAATTTCTCAATTTTTTTCATGATTAAAATTGAGAATATTATAAGATGAGAAGGTTTTCAATTTCAAAAAACCCTAGATATCTCTCTCTCTCTCTCTCTCTCTCTCTCTCTCTCTCTAATGGCAATGGGGAGGCATCTGTGAACTCAGTGAAAACCAAAACCTCACAATCAATGGACTTATCACCTTCCAGACGAGTCTCCGACACCGACTCTGAGTCTTCATCTTCCGGTGGACTCTCATAATCAACAGCCGCAGATCCACCCAATTCTTCACCCAACCCTCCCAGAGACCTTGAATTTCAGGTGGTAACGAGGCAGATCGGCGGCGATGGAGAGAGGTGGATCTGTTTAGAGACAGATCAACAACAACCTCAACCTCACGCATGAGCCACTCGCGGATTTGAGTTCTTCATCTTCATCGACGACGACAACACGACAAATCTGAGTAGGGGAAGGAAGCGGTGGTTCTGGTGGCAGAGCTGGATTTCCAACAACAGAGCTCCATCGAGGACGTCGATGGAGGACTTGAGGACGGAAGGGAGAGGGAAGGCGACATCGAGACAACTTGCCTGGAGTTTGTTGGAAGAGTAAATTGGTCTATTAAAAATTAATGGGACTTGAAGGAAGAAATAATTTTTTCTAGGACTTAATTGATTATAAGTTCACAAAATGAGACTTGCATGTAAATGGCCCAAAAATCAAAAAATCATCCCAAACATTCTAATTTTTTTTACCTCATATTTTAGTCAAAAAGCCAAAAAATTATTAAAATAGCTTTTTTTTTTTGAATAATATTATTAGAATAACGTGCTATTGTGAGATAAAATAATATATTACTGTTTATATCAATTATTTATAGTAATAATTTTTTTTAATAGAAATTTCATAATCAACATGGATTAAAAATACTAATTTCATTAAAAATTGATATTTAAATTAAAAATTATATTATTTTAAAATTTAATATTTTAATAATAATAATATGTGTTAGACTTATTAATTTTTTTTTTATACTTATTCTTGATACATTAAACTCTTATTTTCCTTTTTAAAAAAATATTATAAGTTCCCAGCACTATTGATGACATAAATGCGTATCCTCCTAGCCAGCTCATATTTTGGAGGGCTCCACCTGTGATGAAAAAAAGAGCATGACCTTTCTAAACTTGAGAATTATAGAACAGAGATATGAGATTAATATCAAGAGTGATGATTGAGTCCTTACCCTACAAGACGCTCATAAATTTAAATTATTCATGATATGAATTTCATACGTACATAAATAGACTCCACACATATATAGAGGGTCAAAATTACTTTAAAAGTGAAAAAATTATCCCCAAAAAGGACCCCAAATATTTCCCTATAATATCAATGGAGTCACCATCCATTCACACTCAAAATTCTTATAATACTTCCAAGTTCTGATATTGGAGCAATATCAACCGTATAATATTGTTGTGATACAAAAACGAGAAATAATTATATATATGCATATATATTTGAACGGAAGTAAATTTGTTATTAGAAAATGCTAAAATTATGCTTTAAAACCAAGATTTCAAACACTACCAACTCCTCCACAATCTTTTTAAGCACTCGACAATTATTTCGACATTGGATTTCATACCCAAGTAATTCTAATGTAGACAAAATTTGAAGATATCAATATTTATTATTTAAAATTATTAGTTAATTAAGAAGTATGAATAAATAAGGTTATGTTTGATTAATAAATAAGGTTGTATGTCTTAGGCTATTCAGTTTATGCTTGAGTAATAAAATAGAGAGTTTTTTTTATTGTTTTAGAAAGAGTATTTCTAGTTCGAATTTGTTCATGGGTTGGTATTGTTATTTGTTCATCTTTTCCATATACTTCCCAACATCAAATTCCTTGACAATCTTTTCTAGTGCTTGACAAATATTTTGAAGCAAGATTTGAAAGTAATTAAAAAATTCCTCCACACTCGTTTCAAGCACTTGAGGATTATCATGAAGTAGGACTGCAGAGTCAATCAATTCCTCCACAATCTTTCCAAGAACCCAATAGTTATTCTGAAGCAAGGTTTCAAACTCAAGCAATTCATTTTTATTAGCAAAAGAAAGTCTTATTGATGAATACTAAACATTCAAGCAAACACTTGGACAAAACATCAATAAAGAAGAAGCAATAGCAACAAGTATCAGAGCAATATTAACCAATCCCAACTAGGTTGGTATTGAAAAGGAAGCCCAATCATGTGCTAATACAAGACCAGAGGTTGACGAGAAACCAACCACAGCAAAAAAAACAAAACAAAACAAAACACTAATGCTGTGTTTGGTTAGGGGATTTGAGGAATGATTTGGAAAGAGAAATGGAAAAAGTAGGTGAAATATGAATAAAATATACTTATATTTGACCTAGTTTCACATACCTTTTCCCTTTCCCTTTCCAAATTCCTCTCCAAATCCCTCAACCAAACACAGCGTAAATACAACAGAACACCCAAACCCAAAAAGAAAATATTGTTGGGCTTGACATGAACATCTATGCGTCTGGCCCGTTGATCAGCCCAAGTTAGTGCCTTGCTTCCCATAGAACTAATGACACCATCAATTGTGAATATGAATTATCAATGCTGAAGCTGTGACCTCTGTATCAAGCCAACAACATTACCAGAAACACCAGCAAAAGCTGCAATCCACAAGGATCCACTGGTCTACTTGAACCGGTGCACACAGAAACACAACAAAATAACCTCAAGAATTCTCAACACAATTACAAATCTGTTGAATGTGATAGATAAAATCATTCACCAAAAAATCCTTGGATTTAGGTTTTGATTTTGACCAAAGAGACACTCTCAAATTAATAATCTCGGTCATGGATTTCTAGTTGGGTCACACTCCATTGAAAACCAACTTGTTCCAAACATTTCCAGTCTCCGAATTGTCCATAAAATTGCAGAAGGAAATCACCTCCCAAAATAACTGTTACCTTCTTTCTGATTCCAGTCCCTGCCACCATTGGATGCAAGCAACTCAAATTTTCCAAGATTTGGAGCAAAGAAGCAAAACATGATCAACTGTCTCCAATTCTAATTTGTAGAAATGACAATGACCAAGACTTGGATCAATAATCAATCCAATTTTCAACAACTTCTCTACCACTTTAACCCTAACATTCCAAGCCAACCACCCAAAACATTGAACCCTATGCAAAAGTAATCCTACTTTGGGGTCCCTGCAATGCTTCAAACCACTTACATAGGGATTGAATCGAAAAAATATTGGAAGAATCAGCTCTCCATATTGACAACCTATCATGGCTGCCAGCAATTAGAGATGGGATAATAGAAACTCTGTTTTGAAAAACCCTCAACTCCTCCTCCCACCAAGGTCTTAATGATCATCTTAATAACCTGTCACTTACTAGCCCATTATTCCATCTTTCCACAAAACAATTCACTGAATTGTTTTTAGAGACATAGGGCATGTTTGATTAGATGGATTAGAGCATGGGATTGACATGATTAAATTGGAGCTTATCATTTTTAAAGAGAAAGTCCGTTGAAATAACATTTAATCACAATAATGTCAGCACCATAAATAACTTAATTTTTATACAAAATTCAATCTTCACCACAAACTTCAATTCATGACATAAATCTGGGCCCAAAATCTGGATTCCCAGACTAGCTGATTTTACAAACATATGATATGCCCTTGACATTCTAGCTAGTACAAATCTTGTTGAAGCTAGAAAGTAAGGCATAACTATTTGACTTAAGTTGATCTACATCACAGAACAACATAGGAACATATGAATTATCAACAATGCCAGATGACCATGTTATAATTATCCTAGCATTATTGACAAATTATTCATATCAACGAAAGTTAGCACGGACGAATTTAACTACGGAGATAGCGAAAGTGATAAAGCCAACACAGAAAGCTATGAATGTCCATGGAGAAGCGAAGTATCTACGTCTCAGATGTGCCATAGCATCATGCCAACAACTCTTGCTGTAGTAAGCTGCAGCTTTGGTTGTTTCAGTGAAATAGAACTCCCCGAGAACAATTCCTTTGCAGAGATTGTTGAAAAGATCAGAGGCATCTTCACTGGCGCCTAAATAGTTTCGTATGATTCCAGCCTTTTCAAGCACTTGAACGTCTTTGGGAGTGTTTATGAGTGTATCCATTAGGATTGCATATGATGTGAAGTAACCAGGAACACCAGGGCAACACTGCTCATAAGCAATGAGGTTTCTCAAGAATGGCTCGACTGAGTCATCAAGGGCCAAAGTTGGGATTTTAAATTGAGCTCTATGAAAAGGACTCTGAGGTTTACAAAACTCGACCTTGTTACCCTCTTTAAACATGGCTCCTGCATATTCGAGGTCTGATGCACAAGGCATGACCACGCTAGAACCACCGTCTCCTGGATTTGCGTCGTGATGATGATAGTGGTTGTGTAGAATATCAAGGATATGATCATAGTTATTGTTTGTTGCTGTTGTTGTTGTTGCTGTTGTTGTTCCATCGTTTTCTGATTTCCACATCTGAGGAAAATATGAAATGACATACTGACCAAGAGTCCGAGTTGGAGTACACACTATATGAGCCACGGTGAGGTCAAACAACTCGTTGAGGACAAAGAAAGGAAGCTGGTTCTCAAGCAGTAGCAAGTCGTGTTGGACATAGATGCGCATCAGGCTGTTGCCGAAGATAGGATCGTTTCTTTTATCGCTCTCCTTGTCTGTTAATTTGTAGAGAAGTTCAAGTATGAAACAACCATCAATCACCAACATCTCTACATCCAGCACATCCTCAGCTTCTTCCGCATAGCATTTCTTTGCTGTGTCTAATGACTTTCTCATTTTCCTTACACATTCCATTAATACCTCCTTGGATTTATTAAGCTTTTCTACTTCCGATCCACCCTCCTTGGACGATATTCGACCAAAAAGGGCATTCGCATAACTCCTTTTGAGGTGCTGCACGGGCGAATTGAGAATGTGTTGGTCCTTGCTATGAAGAGGCCCAATAGAGACGAAGCGAGGTGTATACGCACTTTCTTTTTGCTTACGAATCTCCTTGGGCACCCTATAAATGCAAGAGGAAGAAGATTTGGATTGAGTCTTCTCTGCACTTTCAACCATTTTCTTACCAATGTCCTCTGTAAGCCTTTGAAGAGCTTCCTCACTGATACAATACTCATTGTTTTCACTCATTTTAATTGGGATTGGAAAAGAACTGTCATTGATGGAAGTCATGTGAAGAAAGTATATGTGACTTCTTATATACCTATCTTAGGTAGAGATATTGCTGCAAATGGTTTAGGAACAGCTTTATATAATGATCATCTTTATTCTTTTCTTTAACCAACGAAAGTTTTCGGCTTTAAGCCATTATTGGCATTCCCACATTGCTTGAAATTTGTGATCAAAGTTTGATACCACTCTGTTAGAAAGAGGGACTTGATTCACACAAAAGTTCAGTCGAATTTGCCTCTGAAATTTTATATGTATGTAATCGTATAAAAATAATGATGCATTATAGTTTTTATTTTGTTTTAGTTTAGTAGCATCCTCAAAATCATAGAAAAACATGGAAATTTTAGAAAATTCTTAAAAATAGCATTGTTGAAAAATTACTCACAAGATTATCAAAAGATTGAAAGAACCCCAAAATAAGAAAATAATACCCTCCCAAAATAAGTAAATTTGTTCTACATTACATTGTCTACTAATTAGCTAATTGCTAACTAGTTTGAAATTCCCAGTAAAGTAGGGCAGCACTTTGCCTTGAATTGGCTATAGAAAAACTGAAAATTGTTTTGTTGACACACCTCATGATCAATATAAACACTAGAAGGCTATTGTAAATAAATATTTCAAACTCAAGTAATTCCTCCATAATCTTGTCAAGTACTCGACAACTATCCGAAGGTAAGACTTCAAAATCAAGTTTAAAAAAAAAATAAAAAAATAAAAAAACTCATGCAGTTTCACTACAATCCTTTAAAGCAATTGACAAATATTTTAAAACAATATTTAAAAATCAAGCATTAATTCCTCCATAAAAGATCTCGAATCTTATTCCAAAGCAATATCACAAACTCAAGCAATTCCTGTACAATCTTTTCAAGAATGCCATTGTTAATCTAAAGTAGGATATGAAACTTGAGCAGTTCTCACACAAAAAGAAATTAGTGGTTATTCTACGCAAGATTCCAAACTCTAGCAATTCCTCAACAATATTTTTAAGCAATCTATCCTTATTCTGCACTAGGATTTTAAGTTTGAGCAACTCTTAAACAATTCTTCCACAATATTTTCAAGAACTCGACAATTATTTGATCCTGGATTCTAGACTCAAGCAATTCCTATACAATCTTTTCTAGGATTGACATTTATTGTGAAGCAAGATTTCAAAATTTTTATGACAATTCCTGTATAATCGTTTCAAGCACTTGATGATTATGATGTAGGATTTCAAGCTCAAGTGATTCCTCCATGGCCTTTCCAAGAACCCGATAGATAATCTCAAGCAAGATTTCAAACTCAGCAATTCACCTATAATTCTTCAAGCAGTTGATTACTATTTTGAAGCAATACGTCGAACATGACCAATTCCTACACAATCTTTCCAAGCACTCCGGCTGTGAATTTTTCGGAGCCAAAGCGAACTTTAAACACGGGGCTTTCATACAATTTTTTTTTTAAAAATAATTATGTGCTTTTTTTTTTTTGGAATTTGACCGTACTCATAAAAAGGTTACTTCCAACATATATATATATATATATATATATATGAATGTATTTGAAAATAAGAAAATTGTAGAGAATCGAAACAAGTATGAGTCGTGATTGGTTAGAAAGCATGGGTACAAAGATTTATGTGCTGGAAAAACAAAAAGGGGATACAAAGTTTTACTAAATAATTTTTTTTAAATAAAAGAATTTTTCTTAGTTATGAACTGATTTAACTGAAATCAGCTTGTTTCCCAATGTTATGCTGCATTTATTTAGATAGAAAATATTTTTTAATGAAAAATATTTTTATAAAAAAAATTGAAAATACATTCTTTTATATTTGGTGGTGGTGGTGATGGAACGAAGGTGAAAGTAGAGATTGTGACATAGTGGTGGGGTGATGGTGGCAGTGATGGTAGTGGTGGCAGTGATGGTGGTGGTGGTGGTGGTTATGGTAATAGTGGTAGTGACATGATGGTAGTGGTGGTAGTGGTGGTAGTGGTAGCGATGGCATTGGCATGGCTGTAGTGGTGGCGGTGGCATAATGGTTGTAACGGTGGTGAGTTTATAATGGTCTATATCGATATTTATATTTAATATTTATAAATTCAGTCAGAACTAAGTAAGTTTTATATAACTTAATTTTTTTTAAAAATTTTAGCTTACATTTTAAGATAAATTTAAATTTTTAAGTGATATCAATTATAGTTATCAATGGACTTTTAAATGATAAACATGGATTAAGAGTATTAATAAAGGCAAAGCTTCTATTTTCTTTTCTTTTCTTCTATTTTTTTGACTTCTTACGGTGTGATTTTGTTATTTTTTTGGTAGTGATGCTGAAATTAGCAACTACAGCGGCAAATAAGTAAAATCAACAGTTAAAGTTATAATTTAGTGATGAATAATGTAAAAAAGTTATAGGATAACAATGTTGTTTCAATGGTCAAATTGTTATTTTTTAGCTTAACCAACATTGAACCAACATCAACCGAGCGACGAGCCAAACAATCTCCCGAATGATTGGGTTTGCAAAATTCTATTGGTTAAATACTTAAATATTCTAAAATTTTGATTGAGGGAGGGAATAGGAAAAAGAGGAACAGTATTTTTGGACAATGTTGTTGTGATGGCAACTTTAATTATAGAAAATACTTGTGCCAAATTTGGTATAAGATATAACAAATGTATAATTTAACAGTTCTGATAGTTCACCGTTAGTGACCAAAAAAAAAAAAAAAAAATCATCCCTAAAGTGAATTTATTCCTAAACATTAATTTGTTGTATTGATATTTCAAAACTAATTAATAGATCTGCAATATTTTCAAGCACTCAAGTCCGAAGTTGAAGCAAAGTGAAGAAGTTAAGCAAATTTGCAACATTTATATTTAGAGTAATGACATACTGATAAGATGTCAATCAAGAATGAGCTCCACATAGCTAAGTCTGAGTCTAAACCATTAGACTAGTCTCAGTAGTAGTCTCCGTTGAAAAATTTGGTTTTTATAGGTTTATTTTGGGCTAACTTTGAGCCCAAATTTTAGTGGGTTCCAAACGTCTTTTGGGGTGGGTCCGAAGAGGTGACGTGTTCCTTGTCACATGGCAAGTTACATGGTGAAGACGGTTCGTCAAAACCATTTATGAGTGAATAAGAACTTGACGTCGTTTTCGGATTTGTGGAATGGACAATTAAAGAATTAATGTGAGTTTCCTTGTAAGACTTATCCCACATTAAAACTTTAACAGAGCTTATGTATGTATATAAACTCTAGGTGGCAATACTTGGGTTGGACCCCAAGGGGCACCCCAAGTTTGTAGAAGGGAAGAGTTATGGACAAAATGAACATTAGCTCAAACCACCACACACGCATGTACGCGGCCGCAGCCGCCGTGCCGTGCCAGGCGCGGGTGTGGGTTGTGCGTCGGGTCGGTTCTAATATTACTAAATTTCCAACTGTTAAATAAGTTTTTTAACTGCCAGCAATTTACAGATTAAACAGTGACCAAATCTGTTCAAAGTAGTTTCAAATCTATACCTGTTCGAATTTTCGGGACAACCACATTTTGCCTATAAATACCAGCCATTTCCAACAATCTTGGGTATCCAAAATAGTCTGAACAATTCATTTTTTGGCTGTCCAGTTTTGCACTATTGCATATATATTCTTCATAAAATTTTAGGAAAAATTAAGAGAGTATAGAATACAAGTTTGATTCGCCGTACAAATTATTTAGAGTGCTACTACAATTTGTGAAGATTATTGTATCTTGGGAGATAGATGTTTTTTATCCGTAAGCACCGAAGCGGGACGAATCTGTCTTAAGGACAGAGTGTCACATACTCGACTTGATTTTTTAAATTTTAATTCGGTTCGGTAAATAAATTATGTAAGTGATTTATTTTTATTTGTTTGATTTGTTTCATTATTTATTTTACACAGAAGATTATTCTAACAATCTTAAGACAGATTCGAATAATTTTGTTTATACAAAAATTTTCGTTTGTTTCCTTTTCTCTTTCTTCTTCTTACATAAATTATTTTCTGTGATTTTACAAAATAATAATCTGGTTGGAAAAACAAATAGTAGTAATATGTTGTCTATTTTCTTTGACAACTAGTACTAATATACTGGTGTCATTAACAATTCAGAATATTTATTTGGGAAGATGGTCAGATTTTTTTTTTTTTTCAAAAATAATTTCTGAGTTTTCATTAATTAAAATTCTGTTTCAGTATTTTAATTTTTGAAGTGTCACAGAAATTCAATTTTTTGTGTGGAATTAATTTGTTTAAATAAAATTTTATTTTATTTTCAAATTAATTGGAAATAAAAGTTACAACTCTTGTTTCTTTTATTTTTACATTTAAATTTTCTATGTAGTATAAAATTCTAATTATAATTTTGTTTTATAATTTAAAATTCATGGCTACTGAAACTGGTCAAACTAATGTTCAAACCAATGCTGGTATGGTGGCTGCAACTGCGCCAACCACTCCTCCTATTATGACTATATCAGTCAATCATGGTGAAAAACCAGAAAAGTTCTTAGGAACTGATTTTAAAATATGGCAGAAGAAAATGCTATCTAAAGGAGGGGAAACTAAGAACTACAAGTTTAATGGCAAATGTTACATTTGTGACAAAGAGAGACATCGGGCCAAAGATTGTCGTTGCAAACGCAAAGGCAAAGGAAGATCAAGTAAGAAGCTTGCTCAAGCCAATATAACCGAAATGGAAAAAAGTTTCAATGGTGTAGATGTCATAAATCTTTCTGCAGTTGTTTCCGAGGCAAACCTTGCCAGAAATCTTAAAGAATAGTGGGTGTTGTAACGCCCACATTTTCATGCCCAAATGATAATACAATAATCATGGCTCTTTAAAGTAAAACTGATCATAAATTTTCATACTTGCATTACATGATGTAAATAGTTTTCATGTGATAATACAATTAATTAAACAACAAATATCCCCA